ATTCCAGATTGCATGCATTGGGTGACAGATGCACTAGTTGTCATGATGGTGCATGTCTCAGCATCTTATACTGGTACACTGGTAACACCTGTATAGAATACAGCCCACTTTTTAGATGAAAACTAGGTATCAAAAGTTTCTCTTATACAACAAATCCAGGATACCCGTGCAAGACTTAACCAACTCGTTTACCAAAATCCAGTTTCATCAATGAATTTTGCATGTAGTCGAGGAAATTATGTGAAGTAATGTCCAACAGTATTTCCATTTCTATATACAGTATCTTTATACTTAAATCATATTTCTAATTAAAAATTTAATTCTACTTTTCCATTTGTGTTTTGGCTGGATAACGAGCCCTTTTCTTTAGCTCTGATGAAATGAACCTCACATGCAGCGCCTTTCTTTCTTCATCTCACCACTGATGTGCAAAGTTGCCAAGTAGGTGCATCTTTCATGCCAATAAAGTGTCTTTGAATTGAATTGATAGAGGGGAGCGAGTGGGGGGGGGGGGGGGGCAGAAGTGTGGGTACAATGAGGGACATGGCGATGAAGAAACAGATAGAGGCTACGGGCAGGTATAATAATCAGTCATCTCTCCCTCTCAGGTCATAATCTATCCATTAGTCTCAGACAGGGAAGCATAACCGCTCAATCTAAACCATAATGGGACGGTGCTTACATGCTTAGACAGACCCAGTGAACCCAGAGCCACTGAGCTATTGCCTTAGTGGTGCAATGAATGAGACTTCAAGTTGGAGCTGTACCGCACGTGGGATGGAGAGTGACTCTCTAGTTTCATCATTTTAAATCTCCGACCTTAGTGTGTAAAGGATGATAGAAAATGGTAAATAGATTTATTTTGAGCTCAAGCATGGAAAATCTATTTTGTACACTGTGTATTTCCTTATTAAAAACCTGAAACTTCAGCAAAATTACAAGTTTCCTTTGACTCTCTTTTTTATTAACTCCCCTCTCTTAAGAAACTCCTGTCCTTGGCAGATGCAAAACCAAAGTAGCTACACACTGTTTATTTGAAGTTTTTTGAAAACAAAAACCCCATGCAAGCTAAATGTGTCAAAGTCTCTGTTGTGCATCCTCTTTTCAAAGGTCATCTTAATATTCAAGGACAGGAGCCTCTGAGGCTGTGACTGAATAAGCTTATTTTGGTTCAGAAGGCCCGAGAGGTGGTGCAGAATGCAAAACCGCTAAATATTTGGTGATGTAAATTTATACAGGGTTCAATTCAGACCTTGACTAAAGTGATGCGTTCTTTATTAACAATGCAAGATGAACACTTTGGGGTGATAAATATGTAAATCACTTTTTTGTTACTCGTTCACTCATGCTACGTCCCAAAATTTAACATGTTCTCGTATCTGCAACGTCCAATTTAGCCTGACAGTTATTTGACATGTCCTTCCCCAAACCTGCAGTGGATCACAACCAGCTTGCTCTAGTCGAGGTGCTGACCCTACAAATATAGAGCACACTAAACTGAAATATAAATGTAGCTCACATGACCACACGTGAATCATTTATTGCCCTTAATATGCTTTCTTTATGTTTTTTTTCAGTTTGAAGGAACTTTTCTATTACTAACTGTACCAAGAAGTTTCTCTGTCAATAATAATAGAGAACTTTTTTTGTTTTGCACTATATAAGTTGAAGGGGACATATTATACCCCTTTTCTACCTTTTCAAACAGTCCCCTGTGGTCTAAGTGAAGCATCTGTGCTGAGCTTTGGTCAAAATATAACATGATTCAAGCAACCAAGGTTTGTGAGCCTGTATAAACTAGCTCTCTCAGAATGCTCCGTTTTGGTGTGTGTGTCTCTTTAAATGCAATGAGCTCCCCCCCCTGAGTTTTCCAGGTAGACATCACTGGCTGACCTGCGCAAACATTTTTTTCTAGGCTGGGACTGGAGTCCATGGGTGGATATACCAGAAACGGAGCATTTTTCTCCGTGTTGTAAGACTTATGCAAACCACAAACAAAGGACTGGATGGGTTAATTTCACATTTTGTGGGTCTATAGACACTCAGGTTACCCAAATATATGTTCAGAAACACTGTAAAAGTTGATTTTTCATAATATGTATCCTTTAATGCTTTAATTTTACACTGTTTCCAATTGTTTGGGATGGATTGGTTAGACCTTACAAGTAAGAGCCTGATATATTTTTCCCGATAAAAATAAAAAGTTAATTTGGTGTTGTACTTTAACCTGCAGGGGTCAGCAGCCTCGACAGCCCGGTGCTCTCATGTTTGTGTGTTGGTTTCGTATCAGTTGTGTTAGGTGAGGTGACTCTGTGATGCTAAATAGCCTGTAGGTGTTTTTAAATGTGAGTCAGCAACATAAAAAAGACCAGCAACCTAATGCAATGAATTTTAATTTCTACACAAATTAGTTATTAAACAGACCAGACGAGTTCTGAGCAAGACCCCAGGACAAACATGAAAAGAGAAAAAAAAAAGGTTTAAAAGGACAGAAGCAGAAGAAAGTGTGACAGTTTGAGGTTATATAAGAAAAAAGGGAAGGGGTTGAACATAGGACTCAGAATGACTGTGTACTTAAGTCATGAGGAAGATTAATATGTTCAGTGTAACACATGGACCAACACTATAGCGCTCTTATGGAAGATTAAGTATGTATAATGCAGGTATGTGGTGTATGTGTGTGAACATCTCAAGAAAAATCCTGCAAAAGTGGTTGTGTATTCTGAAGAGGTAAGTGCAAACTCTTAAGTCCCTCATGCATATGTCTATGAGTACCTTTGTGTGTGTGTGTGTGTGTGTGTGTGTGTGTGTGTGTTTGTGTGTGTGGCTGTGGAGTGTGCACAGCATGTCATTTCACTTTGTGTGTGTGTGTGTGAGTGGGTATTAGGTATTTATGCCCAAGGTGGCTGGCTGGACGGCACAGATGAGTTATGCCTCTCCATAAATGTCCAAAACAGCCGCCACTGACTACACACGCACGCGCGCACACACACACACACACACACACACACACACACACACACACACACTCACACACACACACACACTCACACACACACACACACACACACACACACACACACACACTCTCACCAGCTATAAAGGGCACATTGCATTGCTCCTTCCAGAAACCAGGACTCTTGTTTCTTGATGCACAGTGTAGAATCTAATACCATAAATGTCAAAAAGCTGAATAATCCTGCAGGGATTTGTTCAAATCTCTCGATTAAAATATATTTTGATATAATTATTTTACATTTACTTCATTTTCAAATGTATTTCTTCAGACTTAAATGTTTGTCTGAAATTTGATTGTGCGTTCTTACAATATGTGTGTTTTTCGAGCTCAACAGCTAAACACAAAGCCAGTACAGCCCCAAAGTTGCACATTCAAGCTGATTTGATCTGTCCTTGCATGTCCAGGCACGTTCGTAATGAAATTTTTCCAGGAACTCTGGTATTAACTTCTCAGTTCAATTTCCATTTCAATGGGACTTTATCATTTGGTGCAGACCAAAATGACTCGGGATGCTAGAGTCGATCAGAGCCACTAAAGAGTGATGTACATTTCCCATGGCAGTACTAAACCTATGTTTTTATCTGATGCACTTCATGAATAATGTCACTGGGCCTCATTCACCAATATCTTCTGAAGAATTTCCGTACGATTTTTCTTCAGTTCCTCTTAAGAAGATTTCTAAGAAGACTCCGTCAGATTCACCAATGTGTTCTTAAAGGGATACTTCACCTGTTGAAACATGAATCTGTATTGACATAGGGTCATATATGTAGTAGAAATGTGAAATACATTTTTAAGTTGGTGCCTTCTTGAACGAGAAAAGGCAGAAAGGCTCATGTGGATGAAAGACAACAACTCCCAGAATGCACAGCACCTCAGGCCTCTCCCACTGAAGCTAGGGTCCTCTATTTACCTCTATTTAACGTTCTCCACAGAGCCTGTTAGCATAGCTTCCAAGAGAGATGGCGGACGTTGAGTTTCGATTCTGGGAGTGAGTTCCAACCCACTGATCTGTGATAGGTCTGTAGCTTCAGTGGGTCCCACCCCCTCATGGGCGGGTTGAAAAGATGAGGAACTAGCGATGCAGTTTCACCCCCTCTAACCAAAACAGCCTCCGATGACGCAAAATTAAGATTTTTGCATCATCGGAGGCTCCTTTTCATAAAAGAAATAGAAAGATTTCCCATCTTAGGGAATAATGAGGGCGGGATGCATAACCATTCAAAAATACTACCAGGTTTCTAATGATACAAAGTTTCATGCAAATGGGTGAAGTATCCCTTTAAATGACTGAATTGTTCGCAGCTGAGTTCTTATCTCTGTGTGTTCGTACGTTGAAAGCCTGTGCATATTGTGACCAATTAGCATAACCGCCCACTAACAAGGGCATGAGTGTAGGGCCCTGTGGATGCAGAAATACATGCTGGTAGTAAAAATAGAAGGTTGTGGAGATGCCTGACGGAGCGTTGAAGAAGACGCCTCACGGAGAAGAAACTTTATCAGTTGTGAAGTGGAGATATACTACAGGAGGTCAGCAGCAAACAAGCTGTTTTATTCCACAGTGGGAGTAATGGTTACACAGAAACACATTACTTACCACTCGGTAATATTGTATTCATTATGAATCAAATTATTGTAATGTAAACCCCTTTGCTGTAGATTTAAATGAAATGCAATAACCATCATTTTGCTCGGGCCGGTCAGCGCTCAAATGTGCGTAAGAGTGCTCTTGAGGGATCTTAAATTCTGTTTTTACAAAAGAACAAATCCCACTTAAGAAAACATCGGTGAATCACAGAATCTTTCTAAAAGTTTGTAAGTAGGATTTTAAAACAGATGTGTTGTTATGAATTAGGCCCATTATTTACTAGCATCTCACCAGTTGTGTTTATCGTAATTGGCGTCTTGAATTAAGGATCCGAAATACAATGACAGCTTGATTTCATCACCATTAATGAAATGTCATCATGGCCGGAGTTACCTTTGAGTTTGTTTTGAACATCCAGGGCAATGTCCAGAGGGTAGAACGGCAGCACAGGATCACTGACCAGACGGAGAATGGCTTCTGCTGTCATCTGCACAGACAAAGAAAAACCAGTGAGAGATATTCTACTGCAGTGATGAAACATATCGTGTCAATGTTGGCACAGAACAGCAAGTCTGACTAAGTGTTTGGAATGAAAACACTTTGTAATGAAGTGAAGTTAACAGTTACAGTGTTCAGTCCTTTAAAGAATTCTTCTTCAATTAGATTTAAAGTGAGACTGGAGATCACAGTTACATTTAAGAACAAATAAACTGCATGAAATTAATTTAACTTTTCACAATAACAGAAGCATCTGTTATTAGTGTGTGCAAACATAAAAGATAAATGTTAATACAAAAACAGCACTTTTTTTCTTAAAGGAAGAATGTGCAACTTTTTGATCCAGTAGATGTCGCCCTTGAGCTTGATTTAGGTACTGATAACGCTTTTAGGATGGACACGCTGATACTATTTTAACAAATAAAGCAAACCCCCCACCTCTGCCTGTCTATTCGGTAGTTGTTTATTAACAACTCAAGAGTTGTTTATATTTTTTTTAAGCTAGGTTTCTATGACAACTGCAATAAAAATTTAGATGATCCATTTTTTTCTTGCTGACATTTACTTATTTTCCTTCCTTTTCTGATTTAAAAGAGAAGATATGCACCTGAAAGTTTCAAGTTATTGGACTGATGGGGACTTTTTTTGAAAACAGATGTTTTTCTTTGCATTTTAGGTCACTGAAAACGCACCTTCTCAGTTTAAGGTGTTTATGTGTCGACAGGGTAAACTGAATTTCGGGCTTCTAATGTCACACTGTGCGCCTTTTTTTCATGCGTTTGGCATCATTGTGCAACGCTGTCACTTTTGTTTAAATGAGATCAGATCAGAACTTTTTTTAAATGAGTCTGTCAATGAAGTAATCATTGTATATTTATTTTTACAATTTGGTTTGAACTTATTACCCTCTGTAAACTGTAAACTGGCATGTCTGAGTGTTTGTACATTTTCATGGGGGGGGGGGGGTGGGTAGCAGAGAAAACTCCCATGATTCCCCCACCAACCTTGACGTCATCTTTTGTTATTGTTTAATTGAGAGCCCCCTGGTGGTGGAGTGTAAAGACCTTTGCATAAATTATTAGTTTTTGTCCAATTTGTCCAAACTCCTCCTCACTCTTTAAACCTCCTCGTCATTTTGGAGTACAAAACAGTGCTGGTGCTACATAAGAATACAAACTATTGATAATAAAAAAAACATTATTTTATTTACTATTTTCTCCAACACATCAAGTACTTCAAGCGTGTTGTTTTTCTCCGTCTAGGATCTGGTGCATTGTGTTGAGTGAATATAAAAGCTGTGCGCTCAGAAACCATTGTATAGCGACTCAGTTCTTTATTCATCTTCAGCAGAGTTGTCTCCTTCAAGGATGTGACCTGTATTTAGGAACGATGAGTATTGACAGCAATTTATCCAAACAAATGTGAACATGTGTTCGGCAGTGACAATAACAAAAGATACAACGCCTGTATTCTCCTGCTTGTTTGGAGCATCTTTCATTTCTGTTCCTCTGGAGTTTGATTGGAACTTAGGAAGATGCAGCATTTCAAACAGTCCATGCTGTGTATTCTTCTCTAGCCCTGTTGCAGGCCTCAGATTCTGATTATGCAGCACACATCTTTGGGTCCAGATTGTAAATTGAAAATCTAAGACTCCATGGGACATTGTGCTTTACATGCTGATTAGACAACAGCTGTAATGAGAGAGAGAGAGAGAAAAAAAAAAAAACCTCAAACACCTTTGGCTGCAGTGAGAGCAAACATTTATGGAGAGCCCTGCTTGTTGGCACCACATACTGAGCAGCATTGTCCAAATCACAGAGTGTGTGTCTGGCTCGGCTCTCACAGTGAAGTGTCTGTCATCTTAATGCAAACAGTGTCACAGATTCAGCCACTCTCAGCAGGTGGAGGACTTGGCGAGGCTTCCACTTGGATTTTTATAGGAGTGTTACATGACTGCAGCTCGATGTCCGAAGCAGATACTCTGTATGAAATCACAGCTGGGATTATTAACGCATCCATCCTCTTCTTCCACACCCAGACTGTCATATTCTCAAAGGAAATACAGCCCAAGAAAATCCTATGTATTCACTTCCCTGTCATTGGAATCACCCTCATCAAGGACATGACATGTATAACTTAGGGCGTTCTCACATTAGGCACGATTATTTCATACCGTGCCCGAGCACAATTGCGTATGTACACACGATACAGCAGGGGGCAGTATGCACATAGTTGGTTTGCAAAAAGCAGAAACCAATCACGTACTGAGTACATCTTGCTAACTGTGGATGTTTTTGTGATTTCTGAGACGCCAACAATGAAAACGCTTCCTACTTCCACATCTATCGTGCAGCTCAGAGGAGGAAACGGGCCCGTGCTGCGCGGATAGGACGGTTTTTGAAGTGATATGAGCCATTTAGAATTAGATCATTAAGTGGTCCGAGCACGGTCGCGTTCACATCTCCCGCAGACTGAATTCTTCCCAAGACCACCTCTTCAAGCGGACTCGGGCACAGTTGCCTAGTACAGGAAGAATACAAATCGTTAGCGTTCACACTGATCAAATGAACCGGACAATGGGGTCAAGCGTACTCGGATCCAGGCCCAGGTGCCTAATGTGAAACCACCTTTAAAAGAGTCGTCCTTTCTAGTTCTATTCTTTGTAAAAAAAACTGAAGTTTAAAAGCTTACCGCTCGTTTTCCAACCTTGTCCTTTCATACAGAATTCTCTCCCATTTTTATACGTTCATTTGAATATAGTAGTGGTAGAGTGAGACAGTCAGGACACAAAGAGAGGGAGAACAGGTTGTGATATGCAACAGAGGTCGTCTGCTGAAAATCTAAATCCAGTGTCGTAGTGTTCATTGTCATTTATGTGCTTTTATGCCTCTAATCCATTATGGTGATGTTTTATATATGCATGCATCTTCTTAATGCCTTCAGTCTTTGGATACTGTATATCACTGAGCTTTGAGGTTCATAACTAATCTTTAGGCCCTAACTCATCATTACACACCATGCTCAAGTTGGCTGGCCTTCATTGGCCGCTTGCAGACTAAATTATTGGCATATCCTTATTTATGAGACAATACTTACTTCTCTCACATACTTTTATACATGTGAAATATGCTGAAAGCCTTCACTCTGTGACCCATTCACAAGACTTACTTTTGCTCTGTGTCTCCAAAGTGTGTTTTGTAATAGGGGGAAAGGGGGTTTTAGGTACGATGCTCCTGCAGCTTGGCATCTGCAGCAGGACGATTTGTGTCTTATGAAGCTAATGTCAATAAATCATTTTGTAGATTGAAGGAGTTAGAGGACAACACATCAGGTTGTAGTTTATTTGCGTAATGACTTTCTCCTCTGTGATCAAAGATTGTTTGATCTGTGTTTGTAATTGTTTAGTGTTCTGTCTGTAACTTGTTAAAAGGTGCTGATGCACAGAGACATCAGGGAAAGATGCCATGGTTTTCTGAAATGCCTTCTTCATGAGCCATAGTGATGACCATGATCCCCGTGAGACTCCTTCCTACAGATAGTGAAGTGTAGAGGAAAAATAGACTTAAAAAAAATAAACATTGCACTCATTTGTTGGCTTCATTTTGGAATACTTATTGCTACTGTGTGTGTCAGGTCTATTGCTATAATCACAACTTGAAAAAGTTGATAGAGCCACTCCTTCCTGCAATGCTGGAAGCAGTACTCATGATAGCTATGTTAGCTAGCGTCTGACGTCTAATGCAATTAAATAAGGAATGAATGAATGAATGAATTTTATGTTAATGTATGAACTGCTGGAACAAGATGATGAAAGTGGTGGAGAAAGAAAAGGTCAAAATGTAATGTGTGTGTGTGTGTGTGTGTGTGTGTGTGTGTGTGTGTGTGTGTGTGTGTGTTTGTGTGTGACCTTCTTCATCTCTGGCCAGAGAGCCTCAAGTCTGCGTCCAGTTAAACAGACCATCATCTGATAACTTTAATACCCAGTTCATCCACTCAGTGGCACACACACACAGACACACACAAACACACACTCCAAGCCCTCACAGGTTATACGTGTTGGAGGTCAGCCCGACCAGGATTGGACACCGAGTACCAGGCAGACTGCCAGAGTCGGGAGTACAGGGTCAGGTGAGGAAACAGCTCTCACTAGAGCCTCTCTCTCACTCACAGACGATACATGGAGCTCGTAAACATCAATAAATTCTCTTCACGTGAATTTGCAGTTAAATCTTTTTAATTACTGTGAGAAATTGAAGCCATGCTTGAGATGGCATGCCTCTACCTGAATGCAGCGCACCTCATTAGTAATCGTGAGATTTAGTGTATTTTTTCACTCACAGGACAAATGTGATTTTGGATGTGATTTTTTTAACTGCTCGTATTTCCTCCTGACAAATTAAAAAAAAAAGATCCTCTCAAAGCTCTCTGGAAAAGAGTGTCATCTTTACTTCTTTCATAAAGCAAAACCTTGTGTACCCAAAACCCCAGACAAGGAACAAAATGATGTGTAAAGTCTAAAGCGGCCAGTTTTCACTTTCTCCTGATTGGCTGTCCTTATTCAGACTACTGCATTGAATCTGTGCCGTAGCATAATGCCATATTCACGTCGCCTTGCACCTAACCTGCGCCTCCTAAAAAACTTGACCAAGCATTGAAGAGGCGTAGAACACAATGCGATGGTCCAATGGGTGGCGTCGTGTTTCATGCAGACTGGCTGAAGATGATAACCTACTTTTTTCTATAACTTGCTCACATCTGAAAATATCAGAAGTTCATTTCCTCATCCAGCTCTCAGTGCTGAACAAGCATAGACATATTTAACCTGCAAGTAAAAGTCAGAGATCAAAACAAAGAGAGGTGGAAACAGAGGCGCTGCTTGTCAACAGGCAAGGCAGGCAACTGCTTGGGGCCCCAGACCAGTAGGGCTGACAAACGTTCAACCACAGCAGCCCAAAATGTACATATTTTGCAATGACAGTAGGAAACCTC